AAAAATTAAGAATAACAGGAACATATCCCAACCTCATAAAGGCTATCTATGCTAAGTCCCAGGCCAACATCATTCTAAATGGAGAAAAATTGAAGCCTTTCCCTCTAAAAACTGGAGCAAGACAGGGATGCCCTCTTTCACCACTTCTGTTTAATGTAGTTCTTGAAACACTGGCCAGAGCAATTAGACAGATGAAAGAAATTAAAGGGATACACATAGAGAAAGAAGAAGAACTCAAATTAGCACTATTTGCTGACAAAAATTTTCTTTACAGATGAATTTCTCTTTACCATAATATGTTGACTATTTCAATTTTTGACAAAATTTTTGTACTTTAAATTTCGATATTTTATCCCTTGATCTCAACGAGGAAGATTCATAGTTTTTTGTTTTTTCTAGAATTTGTGGGCTACCAATATCCACACACTGGTGTCACCTAGAAATGTGATGTATCTGTGTGAAAAGAAGGCTATAGTGAAAGACCCCTAGTCCCCCATGCTTGGCTAAGTGTTTCTTCAGTTAATACAAGTTTTCTTAGAAGTTGAAAAGGGAAAAGTTATCTTTATTTATGAAAAGAAATAATAGTAGCCATTAGTGACTTTTAGTTTCCACAGTACATAGTTCTTTCATTTCTAGTCTTTAAAATGTCCTTAAAGTCATTTTAGGTGTTAACCATAATTATGTTCACAGAGATAATTTGAATTTGCCAACAAATAATGGAATTAGGATCCACAACTGAGAAAGAATTTCATGTCAAATCTTGTGCTTTTTTTCCCTTATTAGAACAAATCTTAAGGGAAGATATACCTGCTTGTATGAAATTGGGCTAAAAAAAAAATACTACCTAAAATTAGAAATCCTAGATATAGAGAGTTCATAGACTATGATTCTCCAGAATTATTCTAATCTTGAAACTTTTAAATGATGAGATTCTCCTAGTTTAAAATATTGGGATTAAAATAATAAGGTTTTAGCTTATGTCTATTTACAAAGGTGACCAATCTTGGCATTTTGATTTTTTCCTAAAGAAAAGGTTATCAGTGTAAATGTTATTATAAATAACTTTTGTTGAGCTTGTAGACAGGGTAATCTCATAATTTATCATCTAAACCAGCATAGCATTGTGAGTGAAAGTGGCCACTATTAATAACTGTGCCTGGGCAATTACAACTGAGACTGGTACTATCCTGGGTAAACTGAGAGATCTGACCACCCAACTTAAAAGACATAATTCTGTGTCTGAGAATGAGGTTGTTTCAAGTGAAATAAGTTCAATAGGATGAAAATCCATATGTTCTGTGTAACTTGCCTAGATTCCACAGACCCTTTGAATGTGGTTCCTAAGCACTGTGAGCAATCTTGAAAATTCATTTCCATGCTCTGCCCACGAGATAGCAGAATGCTGGGGCATCTATTCAAGATCAAATCAGAAGGAAGAGTGCCACCTGCTGAGAATCAACCCCCAGATTTTTGTACAACTTGGGGACTCCAATTAGAACTGATTATTCACAACCCACATTCTCAGACCAAAAGACACATTCTAAACAATATTCCCCAGGGACCTCGGTCATCTTCACAGGGATCTACATGAAAACCATTGAACCAGTATTTGAAATGTTAGAAAGGAAAATCTGTTCAGTATTCAGGTAGTTAACCTATCTTTACAGCTGACCAGAAAAATATTTTATAATGGGAGACTCTTAAATTAGCAATTGATAAAAAGAATTAAACTGCTTAAAATGGGTTTTTATACCTCAAAGTTAAATTTGACAGTGCCCAACTGTGCTTAATCTTCAAATGTCCTCATAACAAACATTTTTTTTTTCTTTGAAAACAGATATTATTTGTGAGAACATATTGCTGTGTGCCACTCATGTAATATGCTGTCTTCCAACTCTGCCTATAAAAGGCTGTATTGAAAGATGACCCAGGAGTGTTACACTTAACAGAGTAACACTATCAGGAAAATGATAAAGAATTTACCAATTATTGCTAACTATTGCTGAATTATTTGGCAATCTTTCAAATTAGATTACTTCTCCTTGTCCACGTAACTTCAGAAGTATTTTCTCAGTTGGTGAAAAGTTCACGTTAATTCGGTTTGTTCCTGAAAAAAATAATGTCAGTTTTCTTGAAACTTTAACTTTTATTCGAGGTAGAAAATTTCCCTGCTGGAGAGCAAGTTGCAGCCTGGAAGTAGTAAAATGTCTGGGAGGGGAAAGGAGGAGGGGAGTGAGGGGACTAATGAAACTTTTTTGTGGAATAGTTCACAAAGGAATACAAGATGTGTTACATAATGCAGCCCTTTGTTTGTGGAGGCTCTGACAGAATCCTGTAGTTTTAGCTCAAGCTAAATGCTGCCACCAAAGTCCTGCCTAACTCCGGGCAGCTCTGAGTCTTTTTTCCTACCTCCTGCCATGATTACTCTGGCTTCTGATTAAATCACACCTTGTGTTTAAGGTCACTAACCTAAAATGACCCAAAGCTACTTATTTCTCTCCTCAACAGTTCCCTAGTACTTGTAATATTTGGAAGGTTTGAAAATAGCTTCTGTCTCAACTTATGTAGTCTTTTCTCCAAAAGCAAATGCTATAATAGTTTCCTCACTCATGGGTTCAAACCTCAGGTGAGAGATTTTGGAAGCTAATTAGCATGCTAAGGAGTCTGTAGCATTTGGGTGAGTCACAATCACACAACCCTTTAAGCAACAGAGAAAAAAGTCTTGTTGCTAGGAATATTGGAAAGAATACATATTCTGTAGACAATACTGTCTACTCCAGCTATAATATTTTTTTAAAAAATGGAAATTATTGTGTGCTATAAAAACTAAAATAGAATTTATGAGGAAGGTGGAACATAACTGGATTACAACATAACTAAAACAATCAGCTTGATAAAAGAATAATGATAGTACACTCTGAGGGAAGAATAAAAGCTTAAAAGCAAAAACACCTTTGTTATATATAATAAGTAGCCACTACTTTTTGAATTCCTTTAATCTTTGGAGATAGGAAGTGAGGTTTATTCCAATTTTCCCCTACTGTCTCACATAGTAGATACTTATTAAATCATAATAAGTTTATGAGTGAGATTCCAATCTAGAAGTTAAGCTATGATTTAACAAATCATAGAAATGATAGGACAACGCACTTAAAACTAGGGCATACTTGGAAATACCATGATAAAGAGAAACTAATGTAGTCTGGCATTACTTCCCAGAATACTTATTGGGAAGTACTCGATCTTAGGATGCCTAAGCAAGATGGAATGAGGAATAAAGGTTGGGATACCAAGTTAGTAATTTGAACTTGATCTTTTAAACCCCAATTATATTCCTGGAATCAAGTTTTTGTTATTACACAAGAATACCCTCCAACAAGCCCAACAGCCATTAGAAGCATCATGCCTGTAGCTGTCACTTGCTCCCCTTTCTCCATATTCTGTTCTTTGTAATCTCTAGAGATTCCCATTGTTAAAAGGAGCTTTGGGAAAATGAAAAGCAGTCTGTTGCAGATTACTACTTTACAATAATTGAAATTTACATTTACTCAAGTTTCTGTTTTAGTCCAGAGAATTCTAATCAAGAGGTGCTAGGTAGGCAGATTGTTCTATTATCTTAATGAATTGATCCGTTTATCAACTTATGATGCTCTTTCTCACTTGTGACATTTGATTTACTAAGTCTATTTTAGTTGCCATTTTCATGGAATATACTTTCCAACCTTTCACTTTCAGTCCATGTGTATCCCTAAAGCTAACGTGATTTCTTTCAGGCAACATACTGTTGAATCTTGTATTTTTATCCAGTCTACCAGTCTTTGTTTGGAAAATTTAATTCCACTTAACTATTAATAGCTAAGGATTTATTTTTGCCATTTTGTTAATTGCTGACTATTTTGTTCTTCCTTTGTTCCTTTCTTCCTCTCTTGTTTTCCATTGTGATGGGGTTTATGTTTGTTGCTATTGTTTATTAGTGGTATGCTTTCATTCTTTTCTGTTGTATTTTGTGTACCTACAGTCTTTTATTTGTATTTACCATGAGGCTTATGTAAAACAACTTATAAATTATGTCACTCTACTTCTAAAGCTGATAACTAATTCAATCTCATCCAAAAATTCTATTCTTTTATGTCTCAGTTCTCCACACTTCACATAATTGGTGTTGCAATTTACATTTTTTCTACTATGTATCTATTATTAAATTATTGTAGTTATGGTTATTTGATACTTCTGTGTTTTAGTGTTTATCCTGTAGATGAATGTGATTTACACACTACCATTGTAGTATTAGCAGTCTTCAGTATTTGACCTACTCTACTTACCTTTCCCAGTGAGTTTTCAACTTTCACATTTTCATGCTAATTATCATCGTTTCATTTCAACTTAAAGAAAAATTTCAGCATTTTTTCATAAAGCAGGCCTAGTGGTGATGAACTCCCTCAATTTGTGTTTGTCTGGGAAAGCCATATCTCTCTTTTGTTCTGGAAGGACACCTTTGCTGGGTATGGTATTCTTAGTTAGCAACTTTTCTTTCCAACACTTTGAATATATCATCCCATTCTCTCCTGGACTGGAAGATTTGTGCTGAGCTAGTCCTCTGAACTTCTTACAGGGACTCCCTTGAATGTGAGGAGTTGCTTTTTTCTTACTACTTTCAAAATTATCTCTTTGATTATGTGTTGCTTTGGTATAAATCTATTTCCTGCCTTTCCTCTTTCCTTTTCTCTCTCTGCCTCCCTCCCTCTCTTCCAGGACTCACATTATGTATTCATGGTTTTCTTGATGGAGTTCCATAAGTCCCTTGGGCTTTTTTCTACCTTTTTTTCCTTTTTGCACTTCTGACTTCATAATTTCAAATGTATTCATGTTCACAATTTCTTCATTTTGTTTGCTCAAGTCTGATTTTGAACCACCTTAGTGAATTTTTCTAATTTTTGTATTCTTCAGCTCCAGTATACTGATTGGATCTTTTTTTGAATCAATGCTATCTCTTTATTTAATTTCTCATTTTGTTCATGTATCTTTTTCCTGACTTTGTTCAGCTATCAATCTTCATTTTTTTTGACTCACTAAGCTACTTTAAGATAACTATTTTTAATTATTTGTCAGTCAATTCACAGATTTCCATTTCTTTCAGGTTGGTTATTGGAGATTTGTTTTCTTCCTTGCCTTGTGTTATGTTTTCTTTATTGTTGATATTCTTTGTAGGTTTGCTTTGTAATTTCAGCATCTGAAGAAACAACTATCTCTCTCAGTCTTTATGGACCAATTTTGACTGGGAGATACCTTCACCAGTCAGCAGTGCTTCATATAAAGCAAAATAGAGACCAGCCCCTCAGGGAGCATACTCTAAAGCTAGAATGAGGTCCCTTTCACTTCCTTTGGGCCTTTCTGGAAGAAATTCTTGCTTCTGCGTTTTCCTCCAGTCAGTCAGTGCAGTGTCATCTCTAAAGGGATGCCTGTCCCTTTTCTTTGTTGCTAACTGTTTCAGGGGACTGAATATGGTTGGTTGTTCAGGGATCACTATGGGATGAAAAGGAAATGGAACTCCACAGAGGGTTCTCTAAAATGCTGGAGATGAGGTTCACATCATTTCCTTCTCTCCTTCATGAGTGAAAAGCTTTACTTTTGCACATATTCCAAACCTTGCAAAGTAGCACCAGCTGTAGGGAGTCACTTTCCCTTTCCTTTGTCCCTAACTGACCCAGGAGAGGAATCTCTGGGTCAGCTCTGTATAAGGGAAGACCAAAATCAGTTCCAAAGCGGTTCTCTGGCTGGTTATGCCAGGAGAGCATCTGGCCACACACTCAAATCTCACTTTTTGCCCCATATGAGAAATCATGGGCTGAAGCTGTCTTTTCAGTATTGAGCTAAACTGGTTTGAAGGAGGTAATGACATAACATAGTGATGTTGCTCTTCTTACCCATATAAATGCATCTGCTCTTGGTATGTCTCTTCTAAAGTACTTCTTCTTAGCTAGAATCTGAATTTCTTTTCAGGATATTTTAGTTTCAACATCATTATTGTATATGTATTTCTGTGACAGAATTAGAAGTAGAGTTTGTACTGCTCCATAATCCTAATGTCATCCCTATTGTTTGTAAGAACTAAATTTTACCTGAAAAAATATGCCAATAACAAGCCAATAGGCACAATATTGAGATGTGCAACCTCCATTGCTTGACATTTCTGGCACACCCATGGTCTATAGCCATTTAGTGAAATTCACTTGTTAATTTAGGCTTCAACTTTCTGGGTTAGGTTAGAATATATCAGATAATTCGAGCTGAATAGTGCTTCTTATTTTAGACAAAAGAAAATATATCTTGTTCTAAATGAAAATATATCATTTTCAGTGGCAGATCTTTACAACCACTCTTCCAAAGGCTTATTAATATTGAACTTCGGTAAGTTTCTTAATTTATTGGAGCCTCAGTTTTATCATCTGCAAAATGAGGTAACTGAACATGGTCTCTAGTTACTACTTTCAGCTCTAAATTGTATGACCTCATTTTTCAGTTCACTTCAACAAATATTAATGAATGGAATACTTACTAAGTGCAAACCAAGGAGGTAGAACCTGAAAGGATATAGAAGTGCATAATGTAATCTTTTCATGCAAATAGCTAATAATTTGATACATTCAAGACTGACATAGGTATTCCCCAAAACATCCTAGCTCCTTATGTTTGATGTATCATTTAGGAATGAGAGCATATGATTTATTCCTAAAGGGGAGGAAATTCACTCCTTTGTTAGTGTTTCTTATATCTAGGTTTGAAGAACAAAACATGGTGCCTGAACTATCATTTTTATAATATTGTTCATATGTATCTTACCTTCATTGCTAATAATTTAAATTATCCTAGAACCATTAATCTCACTCATCCCAAAAGTAACCCCGTACAGCTAGGAAAGGATAACTTTCTTTATGTAGTCATTCCTCAGAAATCTTGATCCTGAATTTCTTGGAGTTAGATGATGTTCCAGAGAGTGAGAACAGGTGAAAATCTAGGAACCATACCTCCAAGATTGCATAGCCAGCTTCCTTTGTGTATTATTTCTTTTAGCAAGTTCTATAGATCTGATTGCTAGAGCATCTTTCACAGTTGATCCTTTCTTATCCCCTGTCCAAACAGCAGCCTACCCATTGATGATTTCAATAGGAAAAAAAAGAGAGAGAGGAAGAATGAAATGTTTGTAACAACAGATGTGCTTATGCAACCAGTGATAAAATGATGTCATGTTTCAGTCTTTGGTTTATATTAAGGTTAGAGCTGAAAAAAAATTTATGTACTCCTTTATCAGTCTAATCTATAAATATTTGACCATAGACCTAGCAACTGTAATAAACCTGCTCTTTTGCTAGGTGAGAACATCATTTTAAATATGCCAACATGGAAACTGCATCAATTCTCAATATCACTAGAATTTTCTTAGCCTGTTTTTGAAAAGCATCAGAAAGAGAACAAATGTAGTTCTTTTTACAAATTTTGAAAGAAGATCCCTACAAATCAGATATTATGTTTTATTCTTTATCTAAATCTTCCTGGGTAGTAAAGAAGTCATATTTGTATTTGGTCTTGTGGTTTCCTTAGTCAAAAAATTTGCATCTAAAGCCTAGGAAAATGTTCTGCCCGCACAGTTGAATGTTTAAACAGGTGTGTGCCTCATTGGCCTGGCTCAGGAAAGGTAGTCTTCTCCTTTGAAAACTTCGACATTAAGAGAATGCTTCTTGTGCCAACTTTCAGGAGTGCTTACGAAGGAAATGTCAGGTGATGCTTAAGTCTTTTTACCTGGTTACCAAACCACTTGCTTCCCTCCTCTCTGTGTTCTCATGAAGAAATTGATTTAATAGGTTCAAGATATTATTAAATACATTCTGCATTAATATTATATGTCCTCTTTGAATCCAAGTGGCAATACAATAGAATTTCATTTTATAAATAACACCTTTCAAGCTAACACCACAGGGCACAGTACAAAAGAATCAAAATAGAACACAAATGCTGTAATCAAATGCAGACCCCAGGAAGGCTGATTAAAAAGGCATGTTGCTAGTAAGAGCAGCCGACAGGGTAAGTATAATGGGTCATTGCAGAAAAGCCAGCTGAACAGAAGGGTGAACTAAAATAAAATGGACTTGCCTGCCTGGTTCACAGGGATTTATGACTCTCCTTTGTCATCTTCTCCTTTAGGACTCAGCAACTGAAGGGAAGAGGCATGTGTATGTGTTGGAGGGAGGGATCAAATGTAGGGTCCTTAAATTTGTAATCAGTACTCACATGAAGCACAAACAAAAGAAAATCCTAAGGACAACCACCTGCAGCTGGCAGAGGAGCCTACAATAAGATCTCGAGATGAACCAGGGAATATCACTAGTTTTCAGAAAGCACAATTGTGTGGAACAAGAAGATCCATTCTAAATGGTGAGGCCAAGCCTAGGTGCAGATGGATAGATGGGTAAGACAGGTGTTTTAATGATCTGAGCCTCACCATGGTGTACTATTCTCTACCAACTAGTTTTTATGCTCTCAGCCTCTCACAACCACCATCCTTGTCTAATTTCAGGGCTTTGTGTTTTTATTTTATTTTTTAAATATCAATTTTTAAACTCTTTCATTTTAGTTATACATGACAGTAGAATGTATTTTGACATATCATACATACATGGAGTATAATTTCTTATTCTTGTGGTTGTATATGATGTGGAGTTACACTGGTTGTGTATTCATATATGAACATAGGAAAGTTATGTCTAATTTGTTCTACTGTCTTTCCCATTCCAATCCCCGCTCCTTTCCCCTCACTGCCCCCTGTTCAGTCCAGTGAACCTACACTCCTCCTACCTGGCATATTGTAAGCCAGCATTATTGTCTCCAGTTCCATCCATTTATTGGCAAATGCCATAATCTCATTCTTCTTTATGGCTGAGTAATATTCCATTATGTGTGTGTGTGTGTGTGTGTGTGCGTGCACGCACATATGTGTATGATATGTATACACATCTATTCTGGTGCCAAAGCAGCTAAAACTCAGGTAATATCACCAGTGCTATAGTATCATTCATATATATCACATTTTCTTCATCCATTAATTTATTGAAGGGCACCTAGGTTGGTTCCATAGTTCAGCTATTGTGAATTGATCTGCTATGAACATTGATGTGACCATATAATATACTGATTTTAAGTTCTTTGGGTATGTGCCTAGGACTAGGATAATTGGGTCAAATGGTGTTCTATTCCAAGTTTTCTTAGGGATCTCCATACTGCTTTCCAGAGTGGTTGCACCAATTTGCAATCCCACCAGCAATATATGAATGTACCTTTTCCTCCACATCCTTACCTACATTTATTGTTATTTGTATTCTTGATAATTGTCATTCTGACTGGAGTGAGATGAAATCTCAGTGTAGTTTTAATTTGCATTTCTTTAATTGCCAGTAATGTTGAACATGTTTTTTTATATATTTGTTGACCATTCATATTTCTTCTGTGAAGTGTCTGTTCCATTCCTTTGCACATTTATTGATTGGGTTATTTGGTTTTTTTGGTGTTAAGTTATTTGAGTTATTTATATAAACTGAAGATTAATGCTCTATCTGAGCTGCAGGTGACAAAGATTTTCTCCCATTCTGTAGGCTCTCTCTTCATTGTCTTGATTGTTTCCATTGCTGTGAAGAAGCTTTTTAGTTTGATACTATCCCATTTATTGGTTTTTTTTTTTTTAACTTCTTGCGCTTTCAGAGTCTTGCGGGAGAATTTGGTTTCTAAGCTGACATGAAGGAGATTTGGGCCTATTTTTTTCTCTAGTAAGGGCTTTGTGTTTTTAAATCTACCTCTAATTACATAATGCAAGTTTCTGTCTCTTTCTTAAAAGAATAAAGAAATTGGGCAGAAAGAGGGAGGTACTTTGGAGTATACCTCCCCACCTGTATATACAAAACTAATTCTGGAAATGATCACTATGTACCTTGAGTTGTGAGCCAAATTGATCACAACAGGGATGATTGTTTATTTAATATTGAGGGTAGAACAATATTGGGAGGCATTACAGGAAAAATTCGCTATTAAATATATCATACATTTATTAAAAAAAATAGTAACATATAGTTAACAGCTCCCAAGCCCTCTGGGGAAAAAAGTCATAAAACAAGCAAATAGTGGTTCTAGAGTCAATTTTAAAAGAAAGAGAAAGAGAAATGATAACTGGGGCAATTTTTACTTTTCTCAAGGGTATTTGTAACAACTCCACTGATTATCCACTTAGTTGAAATTCTGGACTAGGATCACTGATGCATTAATTTAGGTCAATAGTATTCTGTACATCTTTTTCTTAAGTACATTATAAACATTTAAATATAACATATGTAAGCAGCACTTGGGGGAAAGGGTTATTATTCAAATATTAGTACTGTGACTTTTTAAAAATGTCTTAAGTAGATTTTTGTTTAATAGCCTCTTATTATTATCCTTAATTCTGACTTATGCAAAGAGAGTTAATTTATTAGTAAAGGTGAACAACATTGCAATAACTTGAGAACACTGGATTGTAATTTCCAAAGTGAGTTAGTTCATAAAGTATGTGAGCAAATTATAATACCTGTGCCAGTTATCAGTGTCTTGTCTCTCAGGTCTAAATTTGACAGTCCTTTTTGCTCTATAAAAATGTATCTTGAGTCTTTTAAGTATTTTTCTTTGCCAGCTGGCATGAGGGTACTTGTCAGTACAGGCCATAGAATGAGAATGTAGAAGGAAAAGGTCTTCCTTCCCAGTTCCCAGGTTCTCCTTTGGTAGACTCCTGCAGTGTGTATGGTTCATCCAGAGCCTGGCTTCTGTACCTTCAGCAGCTTCTCTGGCATCCAGCTCCTTACCACACAAGCTACCCTGGAGCCTAGCAGCTAAAGCTCAGTTAGTATCACCAGTACCTGGCACTCAGCAGCTTCCCCTAGCTCTTACCTCACATGCAGACATCCACCCACACCAGGGTATGTACATGTGTGAGATAACACCCTTTGGATAGCATGTCCTGCACCCTTACATAGAGATTTCCAGCATAGATGCTTCCCAGCAACATCTCTGGTATTCAATGAGTTATAGTCATGCCTTATCCAACAAGGTCTAGATTCCAGCCTAGAGATAGCAGGGGCTCTTCTTTTTGTCCTTCAAAGTCTGGATCCCCATCCAGGGATAGAAGTACAAGTAGCAGTTTCTCTGTTATTTGCTTTTCTTATATTGTTTAGAGTTCTCTTTATTTCTCACTAGCTCCCCCATTACTTTAATACCCTATTATTTTTTTTTAATTTTTAAGAAATCTTTTTTTTTGGTCAATGGACACAATACCTTTATTTTATTTGTTTTTATTTTTATGTGGTTCCGGGGATATAACCCAGTGCCTCGTGCATGCTAGGCAAGCACTCTACTACTGAGCCAAACGCGGGCCCCCTATTGTTAATGATTTTTAAACTAAACTGTTCTGTTCACATTGCTGTGTGTTTTCTCCGTCCTGAGGACCTTGGCTGATATATACCAAAATCGTATTAAAACAATCTGTATTCTTCAGGAGTAAGAGAAAGTAAATATGACAAGTCATGTCTTAATAAAACGGGTTAGTAATGGTACAATGTGCTTTATCTAGAGTGCACTCTTCGATGACAAAATGCTTTAAGAATTCGATGCTAGATTTAATGGTTGTAAGATAATATGATGCAATATATTAGCTGTACATGTAACTTTAAAGATCTATTTTTTAAAATGTTTTACTTGAGGGGCTGGGGTTGTGGCTCAGTGGTAGAGTGCTCGACTAGCATGTGCAAGGCCCTGGGTTCGATCCTCAGCACCACATAAAAATAAAAATAAATAAAATAAAGGTATTGTGTCCAACTACATCTAAAAAATAAATATTAAAAAAAATTGTACTTAATTTTACGGTGTTTGTTAAAACATAATCCATTTATAAACAGCAAAAGTCTGAACTCCAAATCATTTGTTGATCTTGAAAGTATGTTGTATAATAATAATTATATAAAGTGTATTTGTAGATTATTAATGCTAGAGTAAGAATGATATTCATCATATATTGAGAACCCAGAAAATTCTCAGCACTTTATTTTATTGGATCCTCATAGCAATACAAATGGATACTGTAATCATCCCCCATTTTATAAATGGGAAAAAAGACATTTGGGAAGGTTAACGAAGTGACCTAAGGTAATACATATAGTAATATTTAGAGCCAAAATTTGCACATGGATCTGCCTGTAAGTCCTCGACCATAAGTATCTGTTTCCAGAAATTGAAGCAAATGACAAGATACCTGTAAAAATAAACATAGAATATTTGGTTTTTGTTTGTTTTCATCAAAGATTTAGACCAAAACAAAACTGAAGCATCCCTGGAATGTACAGCACACCCTGAAATATTTCTGATTTAGCTAGCCTATTACTTTTACTTAACCAGATATGGACAAACTGAGTGAACACTGGCTATCAAATCCCCAGAATCAAAGTGTTAACAGTGTATCAGAAATGCAGCAGCCTTTATTCAGAGCTGAATTGAAGGCAGATGAAATATTAACAGCAGTTCTAGCAGCACAAAATGAAATATGAGATCCTGTATCAGAAATTATTAGTAACCTGTTAAAAGAAATGCTGAAAAATGGCAGTTACCAAATTAAAACTGGGAAACAGAGCCCAAATGGGAAATTTCAAAAAGTTTGGAGGAAAATAAATGACAGATTGTCCTCTTGGCTCTTATTACTATGCCATCCTAAATCCTACTTGGCAATGGATGGTGGAGGTGAAATAAGAACTGCATCACTGCCAGTGCTGGTCCTCAAATTTGTAGTCCTAAGTGTCTGTGATGGTGTCTGGGATTGATTGGAAAAGTAGTTAGAAGTTGATAGCTTTTGAGCTTTATCTAAATTGAAGAGTCTGGAGACTCTTATTATGAAAGGCTTCCTCTCATTTGTGAATTGGCCCCTTTGCTCCACTTTTGGATGGCTGACTTCCTCCATGCAGAGCTACACTGAATGTTCTATGTGGGAAAGCTATTCTCCTTAAATGCCTTCAAATTTAAAGCACTATCTGGATATGTTAGTGTTTATGATTCAAAATACTAGCATCAAAAGAGAGAGAGAGAGGATACGAATACAAAATACCAAGCAGTAAATGAAGGAGATATTTTTCCATCAGTAACTAAGAGCAGAAAAATTGCTAGAAGCTGAGTTGTTGAGCATTTGATGCCAGAGGAGGGGGGAGGAAATGAGCTATAGAACCATCAGATCTTAGTGTTGGCAGAGACCGTGGAGTTCATGCAGTCCTACCCTATCATTTTTCAATGAAGAGACTGAGACATGGGGAGTTAAGGGACTTGACTTGCCCAAGACACATAGTTGTTTATTGACAGTCATGCCAAAAACATTTCCCAACTCCCAATCTGGAACTCTGATGTTCAGCCTGCTACTACCATCCTGTACTGTAAATTAACACTAACCCAGCCTGGAACATAGAAGAATCCAGCATCTGTGGGGAGCAAGAAAAAGAAATGCATTTAAAAGTGGAAATCAGTTGTGACTAGTTGGCCAAACTTATGCAAGCCATTTTGTCAGTTTCCTTTCCAGGCCCTCCCTTAACATGAAAGAAAAGAATTTGGTTATAATCCCCTAAGGTTTATAAGTATGTGTTCAGGTTTGATTTGTTTGGAGAATTCTTCTGCATACAAGTTACCTCCAGGTATAGACTAGCTTGTGGGTGGCATTGCTATTGATCCCTGTTATTTACTTGAGACTTTCTTTCTCTAGCTGTGAAATTGCTTCAGAGTCATAGTGGTGTGTGTGTGTGTGTGTGTGTGTGTGTGTGTGTTGGGGGTGGAGCTGTTCTTTCCATGAGACACTCTTGTGAATCAGAGTTGCTTTAAGATGTAAGAATTATCCTCTCTTAACCCTTATATTCTGCTAGCCTCCTGAATAACTTGGAACATTTTGGGGACTTTTTCTCAGGCTCATGAGTTTGGTGAAATAATTTTTCTTTATTTTGGAAGCACAGAATAGTTTGAAGTACCAGTGCCACAGAAGTTACAATAAAAATGCCTCAATAGAATTCCTTGTAAAATAGCAGTACAGGTCTTTCAAACCAGTCAAATATTTTTCAGAATAGGGCAACCAGAAATAAGAGAATCAGAGAATATGATGAAAACTACAGATGGAACACTTTGCATGAAAAGTGATTATATACAAGAGAGGGCTCAGGAGTGGGTAGGGATGGAGTGGGAAAGGAAGGGTAACTGAAACAAGAGAAGATAATGCTTGACCAGGTCTAGTAAAATATTCTCTGCCACAACCACTGTTCCATGAAGAGATTGAGCCAAGAGGCCTGAATAAACTAACCTTAAGTTCAGAGTTGCCATTATTGCGGGAGGCATCAGGGAGAACACATCCGGACTCGTGTTACACAGTAATCACTGCTGGGTGTCAGCATTCATCAGCCAGATGGTCAGACCCACAATTAATCAATTAGGCTGGGATGATCAACTGAACTAAGTTTTCCCCTTTGGTTAAAAACCCTCATCATGCGGTCAAGGCCAATAGTACTTTTATCCTGTTGCTTTTGGAGAAGCTTCTAAAAATTCCTCTTTCAGGCCTCTAGTTACTGGACATTGTTAGGCTCCAACTTACTTTGACAACATAGAGACCCCAAATCAAGGTTTCCACATAGTAGATTATCACCATCCTGTGTGTTCAATTATGATGATTAACATACCACACAAAAATAGGCTTTTTAAAGCAGTGTTGTAAGCAGTGTTATTTGACTGATGTTACTGGTCTTTGAACTGGTTCCACTCAATCCAATGGAACAATGAAAGGGATTCTTTTACTGGGAACTTATAAAGATGATATAATAATCAAACAATAACAATAATAGCAACTCATGACGTATTCACCATGAGACTGATACTGCTATGACAGAGATGGATAAACATGAGTCAGTCTATAATACTTCAGTGATGGTGAGAACATTACTTACATTTCAAAGAGAAGGCAACTGAGGCTGGAAAGTTCATTAAATACTTAATAAAGATATGTTGAGATGATTCAGTACTATGGGATGAAAAACAAATGATTTTCTTAAACATATATATTTATGCATCCCAAAGATAACAATTAGAAATATATCATAAATTTTCATTATCTCTCTTCAAAGAACATTGAGGAGTTCTTGTACTCATCTTTCCAGATCTGTTGATCCTATTCTGTTTTCCAAGCCCCTCTTCTCCATACCATTTGATTGGGTATTGCTTTCTTCCCTGTTTCAGTGTCACCACCATTATTTGCAATAATTCTCAGTCTCCACCCTAGCATCCTTAGCTAGATATGGTACCTTTAATTATGAGTGAAATACCAAGAGTTTTTGTAACTTGACTTACAGGGCAATTGCCTCCTCTAAAACAAAAAGTGTGGCACTAATTTTTTTTTTTTTTTTTTTTTTTTTGTGTATGTTGAGCCTGGTTATTTCCCTCGGAGTTTCATTTCCACTCTCTTCTAGCTATATTGCAGTACACATTACAAGGAGAGAGTTTTAAAAATCCTGTTGGTGGGAAACATCACTTTCTTAATGGAAGCCTGTACTGACTTCACTAAGTAAAATGTGAACACAAGTTCTAAGTTCCTTTGTGTTTCATCATTCAGATTTCTCCCAAGTTTTACTTAGAGAGTGCTCCTTTTTAACCATTTTATGCAGATTATTCAAAGATGCTACTGATCCACCACTTTGAGATATTAGGCTCTTACTAATATTATTTATGAAGAATGTGACTTCTCTTGCTATCTAACTGCAGTGCTTTGCTTTTTATTTGCTTTGCTACTTGCCAAATTGAGAAAGCAATACCAAGATGCCAGAAGAGTATATTGATCCCCACCATTTCTTACTTCAAGTTTGAGAGCACATGGGAGAAAAGCTAGTCCAGAAATCTAAGGAGCATCTTTTCTCCTCCAAGGCTCCAGCAGTATCCTCTTCTTCTGACTGTGGTACTCTGTTTTGCAAGCATGTTTTCTCCTTGCTACCCCTTTTTCTAGTCCTACAATCTTCCCCCTAGAGCTGATGAAACACTTACATTTTGACCTGCAGGATCCCTATGGACTGCAGAGTTGAGCCCTGCCATCCAGACTGCCTTTCTGCTTCATTTTGCTCCTGACCTAAACCCCCCTGCTATTCCAGGCCTGGCCTCTCATGACCAGAGACTGCTGACTCATCCTGGCCTGTGCCAAGCTGTGCAGTCGCTTAGTGATGTGGACAGGAGTCGAAAGACTAGAATGAGATCACTGAACTCATTTCACTTGTTGCTTACGGTACAGTCCAGCATGAGCTGGAAATGTAGGAACCTCAGCCTCCCGAGCAGAAAGAGTAAGTAGATTAAACACACCGCATCACCAAGTCCTCAACACGAAGTGGACGGGTGGCGGGCGGGGGCTTGCTTTATCATGGCCGTGGCTAGGGCATTCCGGTTCATCAGGAGTTTTCCTTTGTCCTCTCTTCTTCCTCTCCTTCACAATTGCACCCTTCCCCCCTTCCCTGAACTTCCCTTCTGAAAATGTCCGGATGGTACAGCAATGATCTGGGCAGAAATGAAATTTTGCTAATAAGCAGCCTCCGCCAGAAACCCTGGAACAGTAACACTGCTGAAACTGCTTAGTTTGTCTACTGGGAACTCACATAAACTTCCCAACAGAATTCAAGAGGATAAGAGGATGAGAAAAGCTTTTTTTTCCTCCTTTTTCTTTCTTCTCCTTTCTTTCTTGATCCTCTTTTTTTCTTTCTGTTTTAAGGGAGGTAGTTTCAGGAGACATGGCCGCATTCTGGTGTGGTGTAAAGTTTTCCGTCAGGAGACAATAATGTACATTCCTCTGGCAGGACGGGGTGGGTTTTTTTTGTTTCTCTTGCTGTTGTTTATTTATAAGACATTTCCTCTCAGTTAGTGGAAGTTAGATCGTAAGAGGCTCCAGTGATTTTCCTTCCACCTCCCCTCCCTAATTTCTGTGCTTCAGCACTCTGGAACACTGTGAACTCGACACACTAATCAGAGCAGGGAGCTAACAGCCAGGCCTGGACGCTCTCAAGAGACTGTGCTGATTCTCAATCGTCACTCCTTGGATCAGGAACCACAGTCCTGGTGAGTGGTGAGGTTCCAGAATTTGATGTGTCAAGGATTCTATTCTTGGTGTCTCTGAGGCAGGCAGGGAATAAAGGGTGTTTTTAAAAACAACAACAAAAAATACATTTTTTAAAAAAGCTACCAAACAGAGTGATGAAGATTTTCAGTGTGCACAGCTGAGAGCACTCGATGGACAATGGCAGAGCCTTGAGTCTGTGCTCAGGAAGAGCCTGTAGGCATAAGTTTTGTGCCTCCACAGATGGCTTTTGGCCTTGACATACCTAGCAAACATGCTTATGGAGGAGGAAGATAGGTGATTGAGTGGGGGCAGGAAAGTAGTATCTAGGGCGGTAGGTGGGAGAAATGAAAGTGGAATTAATTGTTCATTTGAAGTTTCACTCTACCAACTTTTCATGCAACTTTGTTCTGAGCATTTATGTTGTACTCACAGTACTTACATACTCAGATAAGCAGGAAAGAAATTCTACAGTGGATGTTTAGCAGAAGAATATTGCTAATACTGTTCTTCTAAAGATCACTTTGCTAAGAACTGCTGCTTTTAAATGTTAGGAAACCTCTCCCCACTTTTATTTGTCATACCCCTTTCTTTATTCTTCTGTATTCATGGTATGGAGCAGAAGAATGCAATGACAATCCTTATTTGGTTCCAGGGAAATTCATCATCCTGACATAGGAAAACTAGATGACTGTCCTCCTGGTATTAAACCCAAATATAGGATTGCCCTCAATATAAAAGACTCTGATTGAGTAGACTCTGAGAAGTTGTCGAAGGAATGGTGTGGGAGTGGGGAGGTTGCATCCTGTCTGATAGTGAGACTATCATATCAGCCACCAGCCCAGCTTTCAGAGCCAATGAGAGCCTTTCTTGTCCTTCATATTAACTCATACTCTTCTTGGAAGTGAAATTTCAGGTGGAATATATTTTCATCCTTTGCCGTCTGATCCCTACTTAGTTGCTCTTCTACAGGTATTTGATCTCACTATACTTTCTCGTCTTCTTTCCAATTTTAAGAATCTGGCATGTTCTGAAATACTGAGTGGGAAAAAAAAAACGAAAACCAAAAAAACATGGTAGCCATAAAAGCATTTGACTGTGTGGCAGCATCTGAAGTGAATTGCTCTTTGGATAGAGAAGGAGTCTTTGATGTCCCCAATATGGTTCTCATAGGCTAAAACTTCCCAGAACCACAACCCAGCCTAAGGGGCAGTTACTCGATGTTCTTAAATATTTGGAAAGAGATGTTATTTTATTGTTTTAGTTGTCTTTGCTATTAACACGTTGCCAGTAGATTCCTCCTAGAGTTAAAAATGCTTTAGCAATAGTTGATTTTACATCTAACCAGATGTGTATTGAATGGTCCTGTTGTGTGTACTCTTGTCCAAGCTGGCACAGTGATCCAACATATAACATTGATACTTAGCTTTGGAATCTTGTTTGCTACTCTAGACAGTTCAGATTCTTAACCATATACTTCATGCATACTTACATATCTAAAGTTCCCTACAGAGACTAACCACTGCTACAGCCGCATCAAGATTTGTCAGGGATCCTTAGGAAAAAGATAAACCTTCCTATCACAATTCCTATAGTTTCTGAGACTTATCAAATTCCTCATCCATCATTATGATAGGAAGCAATCTCAGAATTTTATTAGGGCCAACATGCTTAAAGCATATTAACTTTATATAATAATGAAGTTTGCCCATTTCAATTAGCCTATGTTAGTTATTACTATACTGTTCATATATATAATAATGTTTCTTGGGTATTTCCCATGAGTTCATCTCTCTCTCTCTCTCTCTCTCTCTCTCTCTCTCTCTCTCTTTGGTACCAGACATTGAACCCATGGATGCTTACCCACTAAGCCATATCCTCAGCCCTTTTTATTTTTTATTTTGAGACAGGGTCTCTATAAGTTCCTTAGGGACTCACTAACTTGCTGAGGGAGGCCTCAAATTTGAGATCCTCCTGCCACAGTCTTCTGAGTTACTGGGCTTACAGGCCTGTCCATCAGTTTTCTTTAAGGAAGAATTTGAAGGGGTAAATGGTTAAAAAAAAATTAAAACATGGTATAAAAAATGTACCTAGCTCTTACACCATTACCACCAAGAGCTACATAGGAGGCTGTGCCTCTGTTGGTTAACAGACTACACAAACTCCCAGGAGAAATGTCTTCTATGGTCAGGTAAGAACTCAGAGTCGATTTGGACTATGTGGAAGGGAATCTGGGTCTCTTAACACTTTGAAAACACTTTATTCTGAAACTACAATTGTACATAAAATTTTATAATTGACTCTAGACAAATACAAATATCTAAGAGTATGTCCCAAGAGATGACATTTAAAAAATCTAATCTGCCAGAGATTTTTCTTATAGTTGCTAAGATCTGGACTTTCTCATGGCCAGAGAAGAACTCTGTGGCTAAGTTAAGAAATATGAGAAGTTGGAATTTGATAGAAGGACAAAACAGTGTATTTTTTTAACTTAATTGACTGTATTAGTATTAGTATTACCTGATTTTTTTTCAATACCCTGTGTTACAAGCCTTCATAGTATCTTTTTAAAAATTCAGTTTTCCAGTACTCATGTGGAAATTCTATCTTTATTAAATTAATGAATATGCATAATTTAAAATACATATGTTTTGCACACAAATTTTAGATGTAAACACTTCCTATATGTTATATGCATTTAATTAGGCAGTCACAATTATACACAAATGAAATTACTAAATAACAGAATTGAGATTATCTCATTAAGAAATTGGTTTTTATCATTTATACAGAGATGTATTTTGGTATTTTTGTGATTCCCAAGGAAGGCATATTTTAAAAACTTTAAAAGGAGTTGACTCCTTGTTTGGTATGTATTTTTGTTCAAATATGCATAATAGATGTATATATTTGCAAGTCATGTGACTATATTCAAATATTAAAAATATGACCACATACTAGCTGGAATTACGTGCCTTTTCATTCACTAAAATGTTTTATTAACTGGATATAAGCAAAGTGGATATTTTATCCAATGAGAACACAGAAAGTTTGTACAAACATTTACGAACAGTATCTTCAAAAGGAAAGATTTTGTTAACTGATAACTTTGGTTATTGTCCTTCATTAAATATACATGTCAGTTTATAAAACTAAATTCTATTATGCACAACTTCAAAATAGGAATTGCTATTTGTATAAAGTAGTTTAATTTTAAATAGAAGGCAATCAAATTTCTAATAATTATCTTAAAATTGAGAATATATTTAATGAATTTACTTTTTGCAAGAATTAATACATATGCAAATAACCCAGTTTATTCTCATATTTCTTAACTTAGCTACTTAGTTGTGTATTAAATACTTTGATACTGCATTTACATATGAGCACCAGATACCTTTTCAAAATATCTAGTCAAATCATATTCTATGAAGTCACACTTTTTTCTCTGAAGCTTTCAATGATTATCCAAACTAAGAGTGATTTGACCTTGACAGCATTTTTAAAATCAGTGTATGTTTCTTATCATACACTGCCTTGAATTGAAATTTTTTGTATATATGAAACTAAAAGTGATTAGAAGGCAGGTATTATATTTTATGTTTGTTTATTTCTTTCTCTTCCAACAAATTGCCTCAATCTTAGTGGAGGATCAATGAATAGATGAGGAATGAAGGAATGAATATGTACATGTCAGTGCATTAACAATTAACATATCTTGCTTATCATAATGGAAGAAACATGTTCATAAAGTAAATCAATAAATTTTTTTGTATCTAAGCCTTTAACCTCCTATGTTAGATCTTCCAGCTACTGAACATCATCTCCAGCCTTTTGCTGAGGTGCTTTCTCTAATCATCACAAAGAATGGGTAATTTCTGATGGGACACTAGAATGTCAAATTTGCTGTAGTTTCATTCATTTTCCAAGACTTATGAAGGTGACCCAACACCTACTGTGGTTAGTTCGTGCAGTCTGAAAATGCCATTCTGACCTAAATGTATCATATCAATGGAGGCCTCTCCAGCTCAACTGTTTGCTTACAGTCAGTTAGTGGTTCTTCCCTTTTCTCAAACTCAACATTTGAGGAGCTTGGGCTGATGTCAAATGCAGAAATGCATGAAGACTGGCTGTGAATGTCCCATGAAGTAGACAGGGCAGGGAAGGGGCAGACAGACAGCTCAACAAAGAACAGGGGCAAGAAGACAGGCAGCCAAATCATTTGCTCTGTCTTAACAAGCACTAATTAAATGCCCTGGTTGAGGTAAATAATAGCTGAAAATAGCCAAGTTCAGTTGTTTCTGATCAATGAGTAGAGAAACTGGTGGAATCGCTTGGTGTTGCTTCAATCATTAAGCTGCAGCAAACTAATACATCTTCAGAGGAGAGGGACATTAAGTTGAGCCAGCCCCTAAAGTTCCATTTGCTAAGTCTCCCCATTCCAGCACTGTAAATGATACCCTGTGGATAGAAATCACATCCAGAAAATAATTTCATAGACTACAAAACTGACCTAATAAACAATAATTAAAAGAAACCAAAATATTGTGTAAACTGGGCTTTAATCTCATCTGTATCAGTGGTCAATCAACTTGCCGATTTCCAAACTACTTCTGATTCTGTCTCTTTTCTGGAGCTTCTAATACATATATATATAAATGAAGTGTTTGTTTTTGTCTCTTTTTGTTTTTCCTACTCACTCTCTAGTAAACTGAATTCCTAGATGTAAGCAGCCACAGGGACAAAGACGTGGTTCACATAATGGATAATTAACCCTTCAACAATGGAAAGTTAACTCTCTGAGACATGCCAAAAAGTGGAATGTTTGTTCTTGAATTTGTTCTCTTCTGGGTGTTAACATATAAAGGACATTTTCATTAGCACAAACTTGGCACCAAACAACCTGTTCATCCTCAAGCTATAAAAGCCACACTCACCTTCCAGTTCATTCTGGCAGGATTTGTAGTATGATGTCCTCTTGGGTAGTCATGTACAAATCACT